GGCGGCAGCGCGAGTGGCCGGGCGGACGGATACGGGCGCCGCGGCCGGGCCCCTCCGCGCTGGGCCTACTTTCCGGGCCGCAGGCGGCGCGGGGGCGGGCAGCGTCGCCTCCGCCTCCTCCTGCCTGCCCCTCTCCTCCCTGGGCCCCCTCCCCCGCCGCCGCCGCCGCGCCCTCCTCTCCTCCCCGCGCCCCGCGCTCCCCAGCCCGCATCCTGGGCCTGCTCCCCTCTCCCCTCTCCCGCCCCCCCCCCGCCCCGGCCCCCTCTTCACCCTCCTGCTCCCTCCCGCCCGGCCTTCGCGGAAGCTGTGGGAAGCGGCCGCCCTCGGCGGGGCGGGAGGCAGGCCCCGGGCCTTACGTCGCGCGGCCGGCGTCGCCTGGCCCAGCGTCCCCAGGCCTGCGCGGCGGAGGGCGTCCCGCTCGGCCCACTCCGCCTGAGCCGAGCTTCTGCAGCGCGCTGGGGCGTGCCCACGGTGGGCACCGGGCTTATCCCGGAAGGCTGCCCCGCCGAGCCTCTGGAGTGTCTGGCGTGCTCTCAGGGGCCGCCCGTTTTCTCCGAGGCGGCGGCGCCGAAAGACTGCAGGGTACTCTGCAGCACACAGTAGGCATCAGGAAGTGTTTGTCTCAGCCATTTGTGCCCGGTTGTACTTGGCCAAATTCATGAAGTAACTTGTTTTGTTTTACAAGGAAGGGGAAGTGCACACAGTTTTAAAGCTGGCAAACTGATGATGAAAAAGATACCCTCACTTTCCCAACAATGGGGATTTAACCCCCCCTCCCCCCAGTTTGTTGAGAACGATGGGATTTTACTGTATTGGGAAAACAGGCCCCCGCTTATTCTGTGCTTTTTGGAAGTGGAATAGAGTGATTGGTAGGAGGTACAGAGCTCTGCTGTGATTACTTTGCTTCATTTCTGGCCTGGGGAAATACCTGTCAGTGCTCAGACTCCGACCTTCACGGTGCTGTGAGTACTCCCTGACAGTTTGTGTAGTCAGGATGGTTCTTAGGGTTTGGAAAGAATCTTGCTTGGGCACTTGGAAGGCAGATGCAGGCCTAGGAATCTGTTCAGGGGTGTCTTGATTTCCTTTTGACTTTATGCTTGTAGCTGGCTGCATTGGCTAGTGATTCATTGTCCGGCTTTCCTTGGGTTAAGTGCACGGAAGCTCATTAATGAGCTTGAGAGTCAGGAAGAGAGATGCAGATGCCAGAATGTCAGGTCTGGAAATACAAAGGACTATGTTCAGTTTGTCCTTAGAATCCTTTACAAAGAAGGAGGTGATGGGTGGATATCAATGCAAGTTTAGGAAAAGACAAACTAGAAGATGTTGCTACTGTACTTGACGAAGTTAACAGGTGCAATAAGGGCAGTATCATGGTAGTGTAGGTGAAGTTCAGCAAGAGTTTACACACTTCCTGTCGCTCTTCTGGCTTGCTTGGAGCAGTGCTGGCTGGCTGGTAAGGCAGATAATGCTGATTTCTAATTGGATAACTGCTCAGAATTTTCACCAGTGCCTGGTGGTCTCTTTATTGCCTGTTGCTGCTTAGGCCTTGATCTTATTTTACTGTTGGATTTCTTTTTGTTAATATGCCAGCAATGATGGATGTCAGGTGCAGTATCACTCTTAGTAGAAGAAGACACAAGAGAATGTAAAAATTCCATTGACTTGAGACTGGGAACCTGTTTCTTCCCCAGTATTCCCCATCTTACCACATGGCATCACCGCCTACCTGGGTTTTCAAGCCCCAAACCTAAGGATAATTCTATTTCATCTATAGAATTCATAACTTAATAGTGTAGCTTCTTTTTTTTTTTTTTTAAATGGACTCTGCTCACAATTCTGTTTATTTATTTATTTTTGGTACTGGGGATTGAACTTGGGACCTTGCGCTTGCGAGGCAGGCGCCGGAACGACTGAGCTAAACCCTGGAATAGTGTAGCTTCTTAGAACTGTATTTCCAGTCTATGCCATCCTTCAGTCTTTAAAGTGGAGTCTTTTAAGTGCTCCCAACTGGTTTCTTTTCCTCTCTCCCTCTCTCTGGGTGGGTGGGGGTTCATGATCTCACTCTGTAGTTCAGGCTGATCTTCAACTCACTATGTAGCCCAGGCTGGCCTCAAACTTGCTGCAATCCTCCTGCCTCAGCCTCCCAAGTGCTGGGATTATAGCCACCACCACACTTGCCCTCTACTACTTTTGTCTTCCTTAAATCCATCACTTGTCAGCCTGGATGATCTCTTTAACCTGATAAATACTGGGTAAAGCTCTTGAGTGGGTTCCTCCTCCCTTTGATATAAATCCCACCACAGGACCCTCATCAATCACACAGGCCCCATATCCCTGCAAGACCCTCATTGAACTTGCCGTTGTCAGCTCTCATCTCTTGCTCCAGCCTGCAATCTTTGGGGTCACTAATAATGCCATCCTTTTCATTCAAGACCTTTGACCTTATCCTAACACATCACCTCCTTTTGTCCTCCTGAAGCCCTAAGTGCTGCAGCTTCTGCAGTCCTCAGATTTCTGTAGAAGTAGCTTGTCTTGTTTTGTACCAGTCATTCTCTTCCACAGTGGTTCAGTGGGCAACTTAGCGAGATCCTGTCTGAAACTAAAAAATAAAGGGCTGAAGGAGTATTTCTGTGGTAGAGAGCCTCTGGGTTCCATCCCACAGTAATGAGGGCCGGGGCCGGGGGAGGACTCTTTCTACTGTTATTTTTTCATAAAAGTATGTATGTATGTTAACACGGAATAGATCTATTTTAAATGAATAAATATTTTTAAAATTGCTCAAATTTCTAATAGGGCAAATATAACTAGATAAAACCTATATCAACTGAAGGTCATTTTGGGCCTCAATAATATCTGAGAATGTAAAGGGGTCCTGAGACCAAAATGTTTGAGGACTATTACCATATTAGTTACTCTTAATAATGAGTCTCATAATCTGAAATGATTTTGTGTATTTTTTTTGTCACCCTATTATAATTTTATTCCTAAGAAAACCAGCAAGGTGTGTAGGGATTTTTCACATAGCAGAAGTGAATTTCAGAGAGGCTAAGTGTTTTGGAAGGCCCACCTAACCAGTAAGTGTTGGAGTTGGGATTTGGATCTGCATTTATGTCCAGAACATGCATTTTATTGTTCTGCCTTAATAAATGCAAAGCCCTTCGTTTGGGTGAATCCATTTCTTCAATAACTTTTTTTTTTTTTTTTTGGTACTGGAGATTGAATCTAGGATCTTTACACTGAACTATATCTCCAGTTTTTTAAAATTTTCCTTTAAAAAAATTTTAAAGACAGGATCTCTGTAAGTTGCTCAAGTTGGACAACCTCCCCAGCTGCCAGGATTACAGCTGTTTTTGAGAATTTACTGTGATAAGTGGATACTGTTGTAGGTCTGGGGATACAGAGCTGAACCAGAGACTTGATCTCTGCTGTTGCTCCCAGGAAAGTATCAGGGGTGGAAACACTGCATGGCAGTAGGCAGCAGGCTTTGAAGGTAGGATTCCTAGGGAAAATGATGTCAAAATTGAAACTTAAAACCAGAACTAGGAACTAGGCCTATCAAAACACATATTAAAGTGAGCTTTTAGGACAGAAGTAAAACTCATCTGTAGATGAATAGGCTTCACTTAATGAGCCTGAGCTCTCAGTTATATGTTACAGCTGTATGTATTAAAGTTGTTGAAATTTTTACTGGATCACTAAAGTTTTGATGTGATTTTATTTATTTATTTATTTATTTTTTCACCTGAGGCAGGGCTTTACTAGGGGAAAGAGCTGCCAAGCTGTCTCGAACAATGGCAAGAGAGGATGATGTGATTTATTTTTATCCTCATTTAAGTTCAAGATTCTTTTGTAATTTCTATTGGGGTTTCTCATAAATTCCTCAATAAGGGGCAGCTTGTTTCCAAACATTTAGGGATTTTAAGATTGCAATTTTTGTTATTGATTTATACTGTAATTACATTGTCAGAAAACATACCTTCAATTATTTTAGTCATTTGAAATTTGCTGAGGCTTGTTTCATGCTCTGGTCATATTTTGTAAATGTTCCATGTGTACTTGAATATGTAACTTGGTTTTATTTTTGGTCAATTAGGAGAAAAGTATTTTCTGTTGTTACTTATTTTAGGCCATCTTAATGATTGTAAAATAGTATCTTGTGGGTTTGATTTACTGTACATTTCTCTAATGATTAGTGAGGTAGATACCTTTTGTGTATTTGGCTGTTTATATGGTTTTGGAGAAGCATCAATTTTTTGTTCATTTTTAAATTTTGTGGTTTGTCTTTAGTGTTAAGTTGAAAAACTTATTTTTATATTCTAAATTCTAGGCTCTTACTAGATTCAGGTCCTTGCACTTGCGCAGCAGGCGGCGAAACCACTGAGCTAAATCCCCGGCCCTGATTTGCAGATATTTCCTCCCATTCTGCAGCTAATCTTTTCACTTTCTTGATAATCTCTTTGAACCAAAATTTATGAAGTCTATTTATTTTTTACATTGGGTACCTATAGCTTTTGGTATCATATTTTTTAAGAAACCATTGCCAAAGCCACAATCATGAAACCGTTCCCTTATTTTCCAAGAGTTTTATAGTTTTAGTTCTTAAGTTGAGATTTTTTTTTTTTTTTGGTACCGGGGATTGAACTTGGGTCCTTGTGCTCATGCAGCAGGCAGCAAAACCACTGAGCTAAATCCCCGGCCCCTTAAGTTGAGATCTTAGATCTAATTTAAATTGATTTTTATATGTAGTAAGAGGTTAAGGGTCTAAGTTCATTGTTATGTGTAGTCACCCACTTACTCAGAGCCATTTGAAGAGACTGTTCTTTCCTAATTGAACTATCTTGGCACTCTTGTTGAAAGTCAATTGATGGTATAGGTGAAGGATTTTCTGTTCAGCTGGCCTATGTATCTGTCCTCATGTCAATTCTACACTGTTTTGATGTGTCCGTTATACCTACACACATGAAATACGTAGCCTTATAATTATACATTATTTATTTTTGTACTACTTAAAGTCATCTCACAAGTTGGTAGTACGTGTCATTCTTAGAAAACACTATTTCTGTACATTTGTAAGAAATATGTAATTGTGCATCATTGTGCAGCAAACTTAGGGCATTCACGTTCATTCTTGTAATTATCAGCTTGAAAATACTTGTCAGGGGGCATTCAGCAGCTGGTTAAAAATGTAACATGTGAAAGTATTAGGTACAGTGGTGAAAAACAGACAACTGCCCATTTTGGCAGTATTAATTTTCTGAAGATTGTTGACTTAGAGCAGCCAATCTTTCTGTCCCATGACAAAGACAAAAGTCCTTATTTGCTTTAAGGAGCTTATGATTGAGTAAATATGCTAGTTATTTACTGTAGAAAATAATTCATGGTACATACAAAATCCAGTGCCCCTAGCATGATGAAACTTCTCTGTGTTGTGAGGGAAGAGCCATGGAGTGTGGAAGGCAGTGGGAATACCAGGGCTTGCACTGGTAATGGGCAGCTGATAAATGAGTCATGGCTGACTACCTGAGGGAGGAGCTAGCAGACTTTTTACTAAAGAGCCATATTTAATTGTTTTAGACACTGTTGTCTGGCTCCGCAGCAC